GGATGGTTTTCTGGGTGGAGAGGGGGGGAGAGCCGTTGTCTGTGGCTGTGATTGTGATATTGTACTCCGGGGTCCTTTCTCTGTCCAGGATGCTGTCTGTGACGAGTTTGTAGTAATTATTAGAAGAGGATAGTATTTTAAAAGGCAATTTTTCTTCTAAATGACAAATGACCTTTCCGTTTTCAGCAGAATCTTGATCAATGACATTGATCAAAGCTATCACTGTACCCGTCAAAGAGTCTTCGGGGGCTAGACTGGACACAGATGTCAGCGTTATCTCTGGGGCATTGTCATTCTCGTCAAGAATTTCTATTTGAAGTTTACAGTGAGCAGTCAGACCTCCGCCGTCGGTCGCTTCCACATCCAATAAGAAATTGTTTGCCATTTCATAATCCAGATTCCATTTAGTTATAATTTCTCCGTTATCAGGATCCATCTTGAATAGTTTAGAAATACTATCGGGTATGTTACTAAAAGAGTAGACAATCTTTGCATGTAACCCTTCATCTTTATCCGTGGCTTTCACCTGAAGCACTAAGAAGCCCTGTGGTAGATTTTCACTCAGGCTGACTGTGTAGATCTCTTCGGTAAATACGGGGGGATTGTCATTGGCGTCAGTGACATTAACCCTTATCTGAACAGTCCCAGTTCTGACTGGGTCCCCCCCATCCACAGCCGTAAACATCAAGTGATGGTAACTTTGCTTCTCCCGATCCAAATGCTTACCCAGAACTAATTCTGCGTATTTATTGCCATTTGTGCTCTCCTTCACTGACAAGACAAAGTACTGATTCTGGCTGAGCTGGTAATTCTGTACTGCGTTGATCCCAACATCGGGATCTTGCGCCATTTCTAATGGAAACCGAGCACCGGGTAGTGCGGACTCACTTATTTTAAAATCAACATTGCTTCTGGTGAAATACGGCGGATTATCGTTAATATCTTGGATTTCTACAATCACATGAAAAACGTTGAAAGGGTTTTCAATTACCATTTCGAGATTTAGAACACAAAGAGGAGATTTTCCACATATTTCTTCTCGGTCTATTCTGTCATTTACATTTAGGTTTCCAGTTTCTGCACCAATGGCGAAATACTGCCTTTTTGAACTAGAGACAATACGGAGGCTCCGGAATGACAATCCTCTGACATTCATCCCCAAATCCTTGGCAAGGTTCCCCACAAGGGAACCTTTGGCCATTTCCTCAGGAATCGCATAGCGAAGCTGCTCAGAGAGCGTCGGGCAGAACAACGAGAATAAGAAGTGAAAAAACAGTACTTGCCATTCGTATCTCCGGCCCCTGGTTCTGTCGCTTGTTTTTATCCATGTCCTTCTTAATTTCACAGCATTGTTCTCCTCGTCCATTCCGAACGGACCGGGAGTTTTAGATTCCAAGTAAATTGAAACCTTCTGCGACAAGGTTGAATAAATAAAATTCTTTCTCTTCTCAATATTTCATGGAAACTCCTGTCAGAGACTGATGTTTTCAGCGAGTCTGTGTGGATATGTCTCTGCTTTGTCTCCTCTCCGCTCTGCACAGGCTGACTGCGATACTGCCGGAGTCTGCAATGGATCCCCAACTGCCGCTCTCTCATCGCACTGGCCAACAGCGACACCCTGCGTCTCAGCCGGAGATCTGCAGCTAGGCGCATCTCGATAATGCAACTATATGGCGCTGAATAGAGACTAACTCTGACCCCGAACTTATTTGAATAAATATCGAAGGTAAAATAATGTAAAGAACTACTTAAAACAAAAATGTCTTTGTCAAACCAACCGATACAACAGTGCTCGAAATACAAGCAAATTTATACCGATAAACTTACTCATCGTATTTTCATTTGGGGCATAACTGGACAGTTTGATTCAACGTAGAAAAACGGAGCTTCTGAAACAAATGCTCTCGCTTTCTGAATATTCCAACAAGTTCCCGTTCAGGAGTAAGACCCCGTTTACCCATATTTCTTTGAGATCTTGTCTATGCCTATTAAATATTTTCTCGGAGGTAAGATAATCTATTTCTGGATATCGAAGAAAATAGACTCCAAACATTATAGCTAATACAGATACATTAATACTCTTCATTACTATAACCAAACCCTTACTCGGAACTTAATTCTTGGCTTTAATATGGAACTATGACATTCATTTTAAATAACTTAAACTCTTTATACTGTTGTCTAAGCAGATCACTCTATCTCAGAGAAAAGAGCAAGTTTAAAAATAATTAAAATGAAAGTATACATCGGAAGTGGCAGTCAATTAAAAACTAAGGCATAATCCACCGGAAACTAGTTTTAGAAAGAAATGTTTAAAATTCAGTTGACATCCTTAGAATGCATGTCATGGTGTTCTCACAAGGAGACCTTTAGCCCCTCCCCCCCCGCCCTTTTTCCAATAGATATAGATATAATTACAAAAATCTCTTATTACTACTTGGGGATAAGAGAACATATAGCGAAGATCAGGAGTGTTAAGTTATAGCTTATTAATTGTTACTGGAAAATTCACCTAACTGTATGAGTAGATACTTCACCCTTCATTTAAACACAACGGGGGGGGGAACACCTCTTTTTCTCATTTGCTTATGAAAAGAAAGTTAGCAGAAACTCTCACCCAAGCGGTTTGATAACTAACTATTACTAAGAATTTTACTTGTATACTTAACCCCGGATTTGTTAATACATTTGGCAGTTCGGAGATCATCTCGAAGGGATCCTCAGACACTCAGGTTATTAGAGGAGGCGAAGAAAATGCCTTTCCTGTCATGTCTGTATGGCAAGGAAGTGAGGCATGTTTGTTTCCGACACAGACCTCACAATTATCCATCCCTTCGTCATCTTCTGCTTGGATTATGACAGTGTTTTCTAGATGGAGTTATTCGTAAAGGCAAATGTAAATTTCATCTAATATCTAATTTTATCTAATTAGTTAATTTAGCTTTAACTCTCACCTTTCTTTTTATAAATAAACCTTTAGATTTTAGATACTAAAGGATTGGCAACAGCCTGATTTTTGGGTAATATCTGAGTTGTATATTGACCTGGGTGTGTGGCTGGTCCTTTGGGATCAGAAGAACCCTTTGCTTGATGAAACTGGTTTTAAAGAACTACTCATCTTTAAGTCTAGTGTTTTTGGTGGTGATACAAGGATTGGAATGCCTAAGGAAACTGCTTTTATGACTTCTTGTTAGCCAGTGTGGTGAAACAGAAGTTTACTTTTGTTGCTGGTTTGGTATATCTCATGGGAGAATAACCATTAGTTTGGGGTGTGTCCTCCCTATTTCTCAGCAGTTTGTCCTGAATTTGGTATTCTCAATTGTGATCCACAAAGGCAAGATTACAGTGTTTAATCCAGATTTTATTGTAAGAAGACATTTAATTTTTTTCAGATTATTCTGAGTTTGGGGGAATATTTTGATATATTATTTGAGTTGAGCTTTTTACAATTCATATTGGTATGAAAATAAATACTTCTCAAGCTGATGGTTGGACCCCAGATACCGCCATAAGTAAAATATTATAAAGTAGAAGTCAAATAAGTATAGATATAATAGTATATTGGTTTTCACCCACTGCATGTAAGTGCTCATTGACGTTTTGAAAAGTAATACTGTACAGAAAAATTAAAGGCATAGCCTTTATATTACAAATAAATTATCGGAAAATTATTTATAATTGCATAGTGTAGTAAGTAAAAGTTCATTAATTTATAGGATACTCCGATGAACTGTTGCTCTACAGGAACTATTACATATAAAACACACCAGGAAATAAGCCTTTCCACATGAAAGAGAAAGTTGTGGTTTAAGAAACTTACCTGAAGGGAGACTTGATCGTCAATATTGATCTTTGAAACTTCTGGGACTAAAAGAGGACCTGATTTCTCAGAAGGATGCTGACCTGTGAGGGTATTTGAACAACTGCCATTAGGAAAGGCCAGTTGACTCTTTCTGGAGTCCGTGGTTAGAGAAACCTCATGTGAGTAGGAGTGAAGAAAAGCTCTGACTCCATCGCTCCCCACAAACTGCGAGACGGGAACTCCACTGAAAGTCACACTCGAGGAGTCAAAGAGCTGCGAGTTTCTCCACCTGCGGAGCCTCAGGGCCAGTAACACTATGATAAAGGTAAAGAACAAGCAGGAAACGGAAGCCACAGCGATCACCAAATACAAGGTGAGGCTGGACTGGGGGTCTGCAGGAGCTGAGAGGCTGCTTAAATCGGAGAGGATTTCGGGGATGCTGTCAGCCACCACCACCGTGACAGTGGCCGTGGCAGAGAGAGGGGGCTGCCCGTTGTCCTTCACTAAAACCACCAGACTTTGCTTGAGCGCATCTTTGTCTACAAAGTAGCGCGCTGTCCTGATCTCGCCGCTGTGGAGTCCTACAGAGAAGAGCCCCGGCTCTGTAGCCTTCAGCAGCTGGTAGGAGAGCCAGGCGTTCTGCCCGGAGTCTGCATCCACCGCCACCACCTTAGTGACCAGGTAACCCGGCTCGGAGGAGCGAGGGGCCAACTCCACTCCCGTGGAGCCATCGGTGGGAAAGGAGGGGTGTAAGATGTGCGGGCTGTTGTCATTCTGATCCAGTATAAAGAGAGTGACGGAGACATTACTGCTGAGAGGTGGGGAACCCCCATCCTGAGCCTGCACTTGGAACCGAATCTCCCGGAACTGTTCGTAGTCGAAGGAGCGCAGAGCGTAGAGAGCCCCAGTCTCGGAGTTAATGGAGATGTAGGAGGAGAGCGGAGCTTCCTGGATCTGACCGTCGGTAACAGAGTAAGTAACTCTGGCGTTCTCCCCCCAGTCGGGGTCATTTGCCTTTACCACGATTAAGGAAGCGCCTTTTGGATTATTTTCCAGGATATAAGAGGCGTAGGTTGTTTGGCTGAAAATGGGCGGGTTGTCGTTTTTGTCTAATATCTTCAGTAGGAGGAAGGTGGTTGTAGCGATGGGAGGAGTGCCTTGATCGGTGGCTGTGATAGTTATATTGTAATCCGAGATCTGCTCCCTATCCGGGGCTCTGGATGTCTCCAAACTGTAATAATTATCAAATGACTTCTGTAATCGAAATGGGAGATTATCTGGGATAGAGCACGTGATCTCACCATTAACGCCGGAATCTCGGTCTTGTACATTTATAAGGGCAATTACAGTTTCAGGAGGAGAGTCTTCAATGATTCCTCTGCGAAGAGATGTTACAGTAATCTGCGGGGCATTATCATTTGCATCAATGACTCTTAACAAGATTTTGGCTCGAGACGATAATCCACTCCCGTCCTGAGCTTGGACTTCCATTTCATGTATTTCAGAGTCCTCGAAGTCCAGATTCCCTACAACTAATATTTCTCCCGTCCCAGAAGCCAACTGGAATATATGGGCAGCTTTGTCCTCTATTTTTCTGAATGAGTATGTTACCTCTGAATTAATTCCTTCATCTTGGTCAGTGGCGTTTACTGTAAGCACCAGGAAACCGACAGGGACATTTTCCATAATAGCCACTTTATAGACAGACTGGCTGAAAACTGGCGCATTGTCATTTACATCCATAACAATAACTCTGATTTTCACAGTGCCAGATTTGACTGGATCTCCGCCGTCTGCAGCTGTAAGGATTAACTGATGAATTTTTTCTTCTTCCCTGTCCAATAATTTTTCAAGAACCAGCTCTGCGTATTTGCCACCATCAACTCCCGTTTGCACATCCAGAAAGAAGTGTTTATTTTTACTAATTTGGTAGCTTTGGAGGGAATTGAGTCCCTTATCTGGATCCCGAGCCTCCGGCAAAAGAAAATGCTCCCCCTTTCCCGTGGTTTCAGTTATTTTTAACTCCAGTTCCTCCACTGGGAAACTCGGCGAATTATCATTAATATCCGTTATTTCGACTTCAACCGCAAAAAGCTTCACTTTATCCTGAACAAGAATCTCAAAATTTAATACACACTTCTCTATCCGGCCACAGATCTGTTCTCTGTCTATTCTTTCGCTAATATATAAATGTCCATTGTTCAAACTGAGAGCAAAATATTGCTTCATACCTCTGGAAATTATCCTGACTCCGCGGTCTGAGAGCTCCTTTAGATCCAGTCCCAGGTCCTTTGCTGTATCCCCCACGAAAGAGCCTTTCTGCATTTCTTCAGGAATTGAATAACGAATCTGTCCAGAAATTGTACCCCAGAATGTCACAATTATGAAGAAAAGCGGGACTCTTATTTTGCAATCCCAGCTTCTTTCTTTATCCGCCATTTCCAAATCACCGAGATATTTTCCGATCCTATTGATTATATATATTTTCCCAGATATACAGGGATGGTTCGGAAGCTACAAGCATAAAGACCAAATCGGTCCAAATCAGCAAAGAACTAGAAGCACTCACCTATCTTCCTCTTTTCTACCCAAAAGCAATCAGTGTGGATCTGATCTCTTGTGCTGTGCTTTGT